TTGCTTTTAAAAACAGTGCAGGCATAAGCCTATACCAAAAGAAAAAAAAAAAAAACCAGTGCTTTCCGTTTGACGCGTTGGAGGGTCTGTATACATGCAAAAATAGTATAGCCGGTCGGCTATACTAGATTCTTTCTGAAATTTTTTTAAAACGTATAGCCGCGCGGCTATACTATTTTTCCTACGTTTTCTGGTCAAAAATTGTATTTGACACGTGGCCCCTAAGCCCTGGTGCATCCCTTTTCTATATATATATATAAATGGTATAGCCGTGCGGCTATACTATTTAAAATGAAAATTTAACCTGAAAAAAAATATGTTAAAAAATATAAAATTAGTTTCTTAACTTTTGTTTGTTGGCCTACTTCTTTAATTTAATATATGTCATTAAGTAATATGTTAGCCTTTTTTAATTACTTTAATTAGTAATTATATTTTAAACCACAAATAGAATAATGAAATTGAATATGGCGTTTGCTACACTGGGATACAACTTTCTAAATCAAAGTCCTAGCACTAGGGCTTTTATTTCTAGCGAAATTTTTGAGCTTATCTATGCGGCTATACAAGAATGATGATATGAACGTTCTCTGCGAATTTATAGGACAAACTCAAAACATTGTTTAAAAATAGTACAAATAATTAATTAACTAATCGGGTTTAATTTGAATAACAGAGCCCAAGAGCCCTAAGGCCCAAGGCCAATCTTTTGATTAATTACATATGTATTAATTAACCGTTGAACACATAATTCTCACACATCATTGAATAAAAATGATATACAGTAAAAGAAAATATCGGCTGCACTCAATTTTCCACTTAATTGCTTTTAAAAACAGTGTAGGCATAAGCCTATACCAAAAGAAAAAAAAAAAAAAACCAGTGCTTTCCGTTTGACGCGTTGGAGGGTCTGTATACATGCAAAAATAGTATAGCCGGTCGGCTATACTAGATTCTTTCTGAAATTTTTTTAAAAAGTATAGCCGCGCGGCTATACTATTTTTCCTACGTTTTCTGGTCAAAAATTGTATTTGACACGTGGCCCCTAAGCCCTGGTGCATCCCTTTTCTATATATATATATA